TAATTAATCAAATAAATTAAGGCGTCTTCTTTAAAAAAAATGTCTACTTTACCCCTCAGAGGACTGTTTAATTTCCACCGTTTTATTATCCTCTACAACTTTACGTAGGGCCATATGACCCACCTCACAGTTGTGTTATAAAAATCGTTGAGCACACTGATTAAAACTTTACCTGTTGTACACTCAAGTTTACGAGATTTCTTTTGTATATATATGAAAAAGGTTCAAATAATTTTCCTGTTTACTGAGAGAAGTTATAACATATTTTATATACCAATTTCGTAATGAAGAAATATTTGAATGTTTGTATACGTTAAATTTATCCAACAAATAAAAGAAAAACACTCACTATATAAATTTAAAAAATAATTGCATGAACAAAACACGGTAAGAATTTTTTGAGTCAATTTATATTTCTTACTTTTCAACGCTGATGGAAACATCGATTTCGAGCCTAATTCGATAGATGTCTATTCCTACTATCGTATTCGATTGAAATTCAATATTCAACTAAATATGAGCATGATAGACGTTGTTTTCGGTGAGCATTAATGTTGAAAATCTGAACTACCCCATGAGAGAATACCTAGATATAATATTCGAATTCTATCTGGTAAATGTTGTATTAAATTTATTATTTTTTATTATCGATAATTTTTCCGTATAATAATAAACACGCCATCTATTCATGATACATGAAACCAAAATAACAAATAAACTAATTAAAACACATTAGGTTTTAGGTATTGAACATATTGAAAAATTTATTATTTTATTCTTTTAGGGGACATTTTATTTAGCTTCGAGAAGGAGTAAAGTATGCTAATATATTATTTAGTAATGCTATGTAATATTATATTATTTGTGGTTATGTATAATAATAAAAGCATTACATACTCCTAATTTCTCTAGCAATATATGTATGAAAATTAAACAACAAAACCCAGAAACAGACATTTTTCCCCTCGTCACGATTTTCCTATTTGTAGAGATAAGGATAATATCCGTTTTTACTCATGTTTTAGTGCTCGGGTTTACTCGGCTAGTTCAATGTTGGTTATGCACGATCACGTCGCTCGGCCGTGACATTATGACGCCGTGGTAAATTATACATGACTAGCATCAGTCTCCGGTTTCGTCCACGTAGCTATATATGACCGATATAACAAAAGTATCCCGTGACACATATATAGATACGGTATATAGAAGAGGTACCATATATCTAACTGTAAGTTAATTTAGTTAATTTAATGTTTTCGGGGTTTCCATCACCGTAGTGTCAATTAGGAATATAAACTGATGCAAAAGTTTTGAGTATTTATAAACGATTAAGATTATATTTTCCTCAGATTTGTAACAATTAGCAAAACGAAGGTTAGTAAAGTTAGTAATTTATCCTATTGTTCATAACGACTTCAATAATTAGATTTTTATCATATTATCTTTTGCATATAAGCTGGAACTAGTTGTTAGCCAAACTGGTCCTAGAAGTGTAGAATCTTCTTGGTATCTTCGCAGCGCTTCAGAATCTCACTGCTGCAAGTATACGTTGAGAGGCCACTCACTCCAAGCTTACATAAGCGGCCATTTCTTCGGACTGTAAGCAGCCTTGATAAACAGGTATTTCAAATACCTGTATAATAAATCTTATTTAAATCTATAAAAGACAAGGCTTTGTTTTGTAATAAAAACATAACACGAAAACAAAATAAATAAATAAAAAATACACATTGCACCGGTGAAACGGTGAGTGTATCCTACTATAGGTGATATTATGTATGTAAAATCCACAATTGTTGGCTGCACATTCCCTTTTACCTAAACAATTTAATGTTTTTAGCGAAGGACGTGAGGAATCCGTTACAAATGTTGCGTCATTTGTACGGGGGCCCAAAGTCTTACGCTTTGATATTTACATATACGGAATTGCTAAGCAAGAGAAGACAGTGATAAGCGCTAGCGGAATAGTTCTTTGAAGAAAAAGAAGTGAGGCTGTTTTAAGTGATGAATGTTGTTTTATAGAAATCTATAAAGCCATACACATCTTCCAATCGACGATTCATTGTCTTGCTTTTCTTCAGTTTCTACTATAGAAGAGTGACTGAAATAAGATTTTTCTCTTTGTTCTCCTGATTTTTATAAACCTATCTTAGGTTATCAAAGGTATAACTATAAATAAGTAATGTATGATCTTGTTCATCATTAATTCTATCATTGGTCTTTATAATATGCATTTTAAGTATTTCAGACCGTAGCGGTGCTTTTGGGATCCGTAATCTAACCTCCATTTCAAATAATGAATGATCGCAACTTCTATATCCAAAATGGAAGTTACTTACAGATCCTATTACAAAATATTCATAAATTTAAGTATTCAGTAAGGCATCGTTGAATGAACTTCTTGATAAAGACTTGATATATGAAGGCGAGATAAAGCAGTAAATTAAAAAGAAAAATAGCTAAATATTGAACATTTTAGGTGTATGCTAAAAGAACAATATTTATTTTGTAAAGCTATTTCAGCCATCAGTCGGTACCAGATTTAAATTGTACAAGTATGGAAAGAAAGAAAATTTACATGCTAACAAAATGTGATGTTGCGAATTCTCAACCGTTCCTGTTACCGCTGCGCTTATCAATATACTCGTAGCTCTTTAGCATGACATTTGTTGCTCTGATCCTCGTCGAGCCGGGTTTTGCTAAACTGATGAGACTGTGACACCTACACCAATATTTTGTTAGGATTTACCGTACAATTAGTGAGGAGTACGCAACCGTAATGGTGATTAACGGCGGGGGTCATTTGGCTCGTCATAACTTTAAATTACGGGTCCCGTTTAGGGTCAGATCTCGGAGTCATATATTAAACAATGTAACTCAACTAATGAGAGTCAAAAACAATTGCGATCTCAGTATATTGACTGATTCATGCAAACTGAAGGATTATTATTAGTAGATCATATCATTCCCATTAGTGTTATTAGATGAATGAGACATAATTTTCTGCTAATAGGCGATTAGTTTACCTTAAAAGTATGAACATTTACAGAATTTTGTTGTAGAAATTTAACATTTTTTTATCCAATGATATTTCATTAAGTATACTTACTATAACGTCACGAAGTTGAACAATTTATGTAATAAATGGACGCGTCGTGTGTTCTAATTACGAAAACAAAACAAAAACATGCATCTATCGCACAGCACAGGAATAAATAAATAAAGAGACCCGGGCATCTACTTTGCTTTATAACGTTCATAGATTATATATTTTTCTTGCAATGTAGATAAAGCTAACATTTAATTACTTAGTGCTGTTAATTAATTAATTATTAATTTATTTATCGAAAGTGTTCTACTACGCTTAATTACGTTATAAGAGGAGATATCCGAATCTCTTACAAAACGTTCCTTCTCACGAGACATAATAACCATAAAATATAAAAACATTTAAATACGATACAATTTTATCAATCAGCCAAGCCAATATTTCAGATCCTGATATTATTTGTACATAAGAAGGCCAGTTAGGTTAATCCGGAGGAGATGTTGATACTTTGATCTCATCCGTAAGAACAACGCAAAAATTTCCGACGCAATAAGCTGATATTACATTGAATATATTTTTTTGTGGAAATAACTTATTACCCCGATGGATCGACTTATTCTATCAAGTCCTGGTAAACAATTTAACAGAAATAACACTATATATACTTAGCTTATATTTTTTTATGACATTTCTCACTTATATTAGTGCATCGCCAATATTCCTTCTCTGCACCATTCATGGTTGACTGACAGATAACTCCGCAAGGTGTTAAGTCCGCCATATGTACCATTTATTTTTGTGCATTGAAGATAAATAAACAAATAAAAATAAATAACAGCCTTTAAATAAGCTACGTATGTATTTAAAAAAAAATAAACATAAATACTTAAAAAAAATCGCCTAATATTTGCAGAGGCAAATATATTTTTGACTGATAAATCACTAACAGTTATTATAATAAATAATAAGAGAATAGAAATTTTGTCCAATTTCACGCTGTCTGAAATGTTTTAACCGGTTAGCTGCACACAAATGAATATCTGGGGAGCCACAGTTTCACTAGGTAAAAAGTGAGAACAGTTGCGGAATAACGGACGAAACTAAAATAGATGAGAACAATGATATATGTGGATAGTAGGAAGAGAAAGAGGCAAAAAATACACATTTTGTAATGGAGGATACAATATTATAATATACTATGAAAACTCACCGTTATGAAATGAATAGTGATATGACAAAATGATATTATATATAATTTCAATACAATATAATAAATATAGTTTGGTGAACAAGATTATTAAGTAAAGGGCAAAATTTACATGCATAAAACAAAAAAAAAACTTAGCAGATGATCATAATTTCAGGACAATCGCTGTAAAGGGGGGAGATCATATACGAATATGATGAGACAAGACCAAAAAAAGACACCGATGTAGTCGCAAATATTTTAGCGATTAAATGTTATATATGCATATAACATTTAATTTAAACAAAACAAAAATATTACTATAAAAATAGACAAAATAAACAGATAAAATAGTATCCAACAGTCGCTGCACCTACAAGTTAATATAATGAGTATATTAAGAGTTCTTGTTTTTAGAGAACAAAATAGCATGTTCTATAAATAATATAATATGAACAGCAAAATGATAAATAATTTTAAACAAGAATTTTCCTAATATAACCATATGATTTCTACCTACTTTATGAGATTAAATTACAAATCAATAATGCTAATATGCAGCTGCCTAAATATATAAGATAATGAAGGTTTTTTCCTTTTAAAAACGTACTTGGATCTAATTATTTCTTTTTTATAATATAAGTACAGAAATTGCAACAACTAAAAGATTAAGCTAACATAATATATATCATCAAATAATCTCAATTCGATATGAAATCAAAACTATACTTTGAGTTAGCTATAAAATGAAATCATAAAACTTACCATGGTGTGTTGCAAGTGTGCGTTAAGGTCATATATCTGACTCCGAGCTGGTAGTAGCTCCTCAGAACACCGAGGGAATTGGCGATGGAGTGGCCACCTTCGATACCGATAAGTGAAGCTATCTTGCGTGGTCTGGCGCTGTGCGCTTCGAGGATATCTGTTAAAAGGAATAAGTCATTATTACAATTTTATTCGTTCTTTATATTTGACTAGCTACTCGCTCCGACTATACGTACGTATTATATATATAAACATTTTTCTTAAATCACTATTCATCACTTCACTTCAAAATCCGATGCGTAGTTTTAAAGATTTAAGCATACATAGGGACAGACAGCGACAGCCACTTTGTTTTATACTATGTAATAATGACTATGGCAGTTATTACATATAATAATGATAATAGAATGAAGATCTTGCTTTTGTTAATTGACATTGACAAGGATAAAAGTCTCAGAATGAAGTTAGAGTCAGATTTTGATGGATTTACTTTCCTACAGTTGTTTTGAAAAGACATCGACGAGCAAGGCGAGACTAAAGTGTCAATTCCCTTATTCTCGCAGCCATCACTTTAGTATTGTACACTGTTAGTATATCAATTCTATATAAAAACAAAATAAATAATTAGAAACTTAGTTTATGAACAAAGCAGGCTGACGATAGGCTGCTACAAACCCGCTACTTGACGGGTTATTAAATAGTTGCAAGGCCGGTCCAGTGGTGGCCATAATAAAAATATTAATGAAGCCACTTAATTAACATTTAATTTTTTAAAGAAATGAAAATTCCGATATAATCAAGAAAAGAATGAGTAAAGTAGTTATACATCAAAATATCTTCTCTAGAAAGGAGTGAACGGTTATGTAAAGATTTATTTTACTCGTAATTACATATTAATATATTTATCTTTGTTCTGTGCAAATGATGAATAATTAAAAAAAAATCCGGTTGTTACATTCTTGTTATCACACTACATGAAGATTTCGGTACTCTCGTTTCAAAGCGCTGAATTCGATTCCATCAAACAAATCTTTTATGACATTCAAATGTAGGGAAATAGTAGGGAGGCCCTTAACTGAATTAATGTGAACGCCTCACGAGTCAAAGATTGTGAATGAATATTTTATAAGTTCATGTTAGAATAATTTACAACAACTCCCCCTCGAATGTCCGAAGTTCAGGCTTGAACAAAAAGTTACTATCTATACATGTAATTATAACTACCCATGTCGGTTTATTATAGATATTTAGAAAAACTAAAATTTATTATATAACAGACGCCAGAATAACAGGTTTTAATTTTTTTTTCTTTCTATCTGGTTTTACCCATACCATAAAGATCTAACTTAAATTATAGATATATCTTATCAACTATATTGTTATTTTATTGAAGTCCATTTCATTACTTAATGGATTATTGTGTTGATTATCAATAGAGAAGGTCGTAACGCTTCCAATATCGGTGGTCAGGTATCCGGACTGAATATATCTGGTCTTACACAAACGAATGGTAGCGAAATTATATAAATCTTTTAAAACTTTTAGTTCTATTTTCTTGTCGAAAATATCTCATTCTGTGCGAAGCAAGTCCGTTTCGCTAGTGTATAATATAAATGTTCAGCAATTAGAAGATTGCATTCCTAAGGAGATTCCGTTTAATAATGCGCACCGCCTTCCCGAATATTACTTCCTATTTCTTTGTTTCGAATTATTTTACGAAGACTCATTTCGAAATTCAAAATAAATAATGAATTGTTTCTAAATTGTTGGAAGTTTTATTGGATTTTGCTTACGTAATGCATTTTCCGTGAGGATAAATTGTTTCTCACATAAATACGGAAGATTATCTGCTTTAGAATAGTAAACAAATACGAATATAATTCGTATCTACAAATACGAGTAATTGCTAATCATGGTTTATATTCAACTTTGATTAATACTCTATGTATAATATATCATTTGAAATTCTGACTACCTACATAATCATATTTGACTTTCATTTACCTTTCTTTTCATATGAAGTGTAATGAATAGGACGTAATTGTAATAAACTAATGCAGCCGGATAAAAAAACGCCACCTACCGAGTCTTATTACGTTTTCATCCAGGAAACAATTTAAATATATACAGAAAATTTAAAGCAATTCACTCTAGATTTTATCTTTGTCTATCAACTAAAGTATTTATACAAATACGAAAAGTGTGTTCGTCTTTTCATTCATTCGCCTTTTCACGTGTAAATGAATTTGAAATTTGGCGTGAATAAAACTTGTATCTCTATGATGGACAAGACTATCTATATCAAAAACAGCGGACTAAGTCGCGAGTAGCTACTTGTATTTGTACAATATCCTGAACCATTATATCTTCTGTCGTTTACACTAAATAAAATTTTATTGAAGTGACCAAAGACCGAGGATTCGTTAACTTAATTTAAGATCACCTTTATTTAAGCGTAGAATGCTTCTGCGCCTCCCGCCATTTTAATGAGTCCACCAGATGTTTTATCAACTTAATCTTTTACGAGACATTTGAGCGAAACAATTTTTATCGAGGTAGACTTTGTTGAAAGTTGTCTGTGTTTTTGCTATAAAGCAGCTTATTTTAATAGTTACATTGAAATAATACGTTGATAGCAGAAGGCTGGCTTGATGGTAAGATTCAATAGTGAAATTACAGGATACGGTGGCAAGACAATTTATTATTCGAAGCAACGCATGACTATGTGACTTGTACGAGTCAAAAATGGTATGTCAATACAATACTCGATAATCTTTTAAATACGAGCACCGTTCACTTGTTTAGCATTCCAATTAAAAATATGAGGCAATAAGTATGAAGTATCAATTGAAAGACAAGAATTTACTTACTTCACACATTTACACAGAAGAAAATTAATAGAATGTTCTCGAACAAAGTGACGCTAAATGGACGGACAATGACTAGATTAGTGACTAATTGTTTTACTGAGCGAGACAATTGCTTAGTAGCGACCGTTACTTGTTCTGAATTTTAAATAATATACATACAATCACGGTAGCTGAAGTGGAATTCTTGAGGCGTTCGAAACTAATTCGTAACTTTAAAAGTGAACTGGACTCGATAAAAAAAGACTGTACATTTCGTTAGGGAAGTTGATTTTGTATGTGTTTTTCTCGACTTTCTTGTTGTTATTTTAAGTTTAGATTAAAGTTTCTTTTATGGGGTATAACAATGAAAAGGCGGACCACTTTTCATATGATTTTGTACAACAGTAGTGGTAAATATACTATTACCGGTACTGGGATTACTAACAAAGTGAGAATACATAGATTATTTGTTACATACACCGGAATCGCATAGTGGAACAGTCTCACAAAGTTTATCACAGCAGATACCAAACACTACAGCCCAGACAGTTCTTGTAGCAGTAAAATTATAAAAACTCTGCATATAATGAGGAAGATTGATCATTTGATGAGAAATACTTGAATATTGATATTTTTTTACATCACACAAAATAGTCACTCAAAATGGTTACAAATTTTTATATTGAATATTGGACCCACGATCATTGATAAGAAAGCGGTGTGCTTGACTAGATCGCCAGTGGAGCTCCAAATTTTTTAAGTTAAACATTCCAATATGTGCATTTTATTGTACTCACCAGTAACAGAAGTGGCGAATTTGAAATGCTGAGGGTATTTATCTACCAGGCGACGGATGACATCAATCTGCTCCAGAGTCAGTTGAACGGCGTCTCTATTTTGAGTGGCGCATGGAACGAATGCAGACCAGAACTGTAACAAAATATAATTTTATAAACCTCCAAATTGCTATAGCTGCTTAATATTCTTAACTTATAGTAGTGCCCGCGGTTTATTTATGTCGTATGTGTTATACTGTTGTAGTTATAATATTGTTAAGTTTCATTCATTAGTTTTTGTATGAAAGAATGGTCTCGGTGCTCAGTGGTCTAGTTTATTCCTGTTGTAATACATAAATGTAACATTATTATTTTCTCATAGAGAGAGAAATGTAAATTTTAGTTATTTTGATAGCAGTTGTTCCAGTAGAGTATCTATACAACTTTGATAGCCATACGATTTACCGAAGGTAAACGACTATCGCAACTCACGAAAGTTTGCCGCGCCAGAGGTGTAACTAGTTCGTTGCTGATATTAAGTACTTAAATATTAATTTCGCTACTCTAATACGTTCTTTAAACTCAAATACAGCATGCAAGGAAGCTGCTTCGCAACAGCATTATGTGAGACAGTAACTTTGTGATAACAGTATCTTTGTCACAAAATATCCCTGAGGTAATAACTCGGAGCGTCAAAGCAGGATTGTTAAAATTATAGCACTATGCTAGACTATTATACTGTAGATAAGGTATGATGTTTGGTTTCAATAGATAAAGTTAGCGATCATGAAGGAGTTTGCATGATTCCAATGGAAAAGTAACGATCCATTTATAAATATGTAGTACCCGTTTAAAAATGAATTATGCAAAAGATTGTAATATTGAAAGGAGCGAGTTGGTTCCCAAAGGGATCTGAACAATGTATTCATGCAGTGCTGGGGTAGGATGAACAAAATCAATTTTGTTAGCCGTATGGATTCCTGGCATTTATCTCTGGGTTCGTATATTTTTATATAATAATATTTTGTACGTGAGGCACACACTAACTCGATTCTTGGCAGGAAAATCGGCAAATCTTTCTTAGTTTCCGTTGGCGTTTGATGTGAATCTAGGAAGCTTAAACGTATTGCCTTATACTGTTGAGGTGATTTCAAACCGTGCTCTTTATGGGTTTAAGGTTTTCGCACTTCAAAGAAAAATGAATCCTGGATGCAGCAGTCGTTGTTAATATTACTGGGACTTGTGATAAAGTCACGTTACAGGTGGCTTTTAAATTTTATTCTGTTTGACATGTATAAGTAAAGGCAATAATATACCTATTAAAGTTATAAATTGTAAAAACTATTATTATGTATTATAACTACATATTATTTCATTTAACAAGGGATGGATTCTTATTAGTTTTTAAAGTATATTTCTAATAAGACTTTATTTATCATAATCGAAATTTAATTCTACATGAATAAATATATTGTGTCTGTCAGCCTGTGTATCGCTATCTGCTTTTTATATTGCATAAAATATTAACATAATTATATATAATTCCAATTCTTTCTTTATTCAAAATATTCAAAAATTTTTTAAGGGTTCACTTAAGGGTGAAATGAGCACAGCCGCCCCTTAGCACACACAACACTATGGGAATTGCAAGTGCGTTGCCGGTCTTTTAAAAGGAATACGCTCTTTCCTTGGTTTCAATGCCATAGCTGGAATGTGATTACACAATTTCGTTGTACGTGGCAAAAAAAATAAAGTACATGTATAATTGCTTCAACTTCTTCGAGTTAAAGTTAGGAAAAATAATATTATTTTTACGTTTGTTTCTCTCATTATTCTATGAATTCGTTATTATACGTTTCAGTGAAAAGCACAGTTGGACAAAACTCATTATGAAATTGAGGAAAACATTGTTTCAATTTAATAGACTAAAGTTTTAAGCTCAGTAACACAATACGTTTACAAGAGAAATACGGCCAATTACCTAACCAGCAAAGTTTGTTAAAAACGTTACATTCCGAATGACAACGATAATACCGTAAAATATTCCCTTGCTCCGTTAAATTCATATTTACTTTTTAATCCCAAGTTTCCAGTAATTGCTTATTTATATGGGTAATAGTAATAAAACACACACTAACCATTATTGGTTAACAAGTAAGAGACCATAATACCAATACTAACGATAAATTTATGTATATATTTTTAACATGTCTCATTTATATTAGTGCATCGCCAATTCTCTAGTTTTACTGGTAGATAACGCCGAACAAGGTGTTAAGTCCACCATGTATACACATTATTTTTGTGCATTGAAGTTAATTAAATAACCATCCCTTCTTTAGAGGAGATACGAGATTTTTAAAACAATAAAGAGCTATAATAAAGCTTCGGACTTATTCGGAGATAAATTTGGAGAACTATATTCTTTGGAATGTCTTTTAGGTCTATTTGATTCTCCCAGCATATTTTATTTCTTTCTCTGTCTGTAAAGGTGAATGTCATTTTCTTGTACTACCAAGGTCATACCAGCGTCGGAACAATCCTCATTCTCACTTTCGCCTTCGAAAAATAGTAGACAAGAAATTTGTCGAATATTTTTCGCAGATGATCGATCCATACATGAATAGAAAGATGTGAGAGAAAATAGTTCTTCTCCATCTTTCTCTCATTTCAATTATTTTTTACAACTATATGAGTAATAATATACCTGCGTGAATAGCCAAGTGTTACACAATTCACACAGCTTTACTAAGTTTCAGTCTAAGCAGATCTTGTAAATTTACTAATTTATATATTACCATATATAACTTTCAATATACACATCCATAAGAATATAAAAAATCATACTCAAAAACACAAAGTTTCTATTGTGAGAGAATCGAATTCGCCACTATTTGAAGCAATACGGTATGCTAAACCTCTGGGTTACTGAGGACACCGCATTTACTGAATACTCTATCTATGGTTCCAATCGTCGTATTCTTTAATTAGTTCTCCAAAAATGTTACGCTTATTTTCCTGTGCAGCTACAGATAAAAAAGTAATTAAAGTTACAAAATGTCTGTCGGTTGTTGTATAATAGAAAAGTAATTATGTTCTATGAAAGTTTAGAGAGACAGATTGTTTTTGGCGTGTTCGTAATAATATGTCCTTTCAAAACATTTGTTTGCAAAATTAGAAACGCTCTGTTCGAGCTTCTGTTTGTTCATAACTGGTGCCGGTAAGGCTGTGTTTACATGTTCCAATATGTTGCGAATGACCTGCAAGTCTACTCCGAAATTTAATCTCAGTATCAATTTCAATCTAATCCATTTTAATACTGTTATTTCTATACGTTCGGCTATATTACGGCTGCATCAAATAAATCGATAATTATGTCAGTTTGTTCATTGAATTCAAAGTTTGAAATTAGTTCATATCTTTATATCAATACAACAAAGTTAGATTTCACAGTAGATTTGTAATTTATAAAAATACTAGCTGTGCCCGCGGCTTCGTCCACGTGAAATTTATAGTCTATGTGTTATTCTAATGTATAAGCAATATTACTGTAAAGTTTCATCAAAATCCGTTTCGTAGTTTTTGTGTGAAAGTGTATCAAATCGTTTCATCCATATTTACGTACTTTCGCGTTTATAATATTAATAATAACATAAATAATGTTATATGTAAAATTATATATTCTACTTTTGGAATGAATTCTGCGTTAATCAGGTTGAATACTGCTACCATGTATAATTTTAAGCTAAATAATATTGGCTTCCAGAAGGTCACACTAGCCGTGGTCAACGAATGGGCTAAACTACAGCTATGTCGATGTCAGTCAGCAATTTGTTTATCTACCGTCATTAGATCATCCAACGAATAGACAAGATCTGGTTAAATATACATTAGTTGGGTCTCCGCCTTCCGCCACACGTATAACTTGGTTGATAGAATTGTAATTAAATTAATATAAAAAAAACATATTTTAAGTGAAACTTAATACAATATTATCAAAGTTAGTGAAAGACGCAACCAACTTTATTAGACCGTTTCAAGATTAGTTACTATTTTTTTTAAGTACCTACTAATTAATTTATACAGTTCTCCAATAACAGTAATATCTCAAGACAATTGACACAACGCCATGTAGTCCCAAGTTAAGCAGAGCTTGCATTACTGGTACTGTACTTGGTACTAGAGAACTGATATAAATACATGGATGCATTTTTTTTTGTAAATAAATATATATTATACATAGAAAACATCCAAACCAATACAAATAATCATATTCATAAATATTTGTACCGAGCGAGGAATCGAACCCGCGACTATCTGATAGTAAAGCGGTATGCCACTGAAGCTGACTATATTCTCAGTATATTTATATCTTCTAGGTATAGATAGTGAATGGTTACACTTTCATTACATATACAGTTAAAATTACGGAACGGTGAATAACAACCATACTTCATTATTAAATTATAGATCTTACATATTGTTGTGCAAAGTACGTACGTACTAAAGAAACTAGCGCAACCTGGAACTAGTTCCTAAGATTTATGGACCCAAACAAACAAACTTCCTCTTAAGGATGGAATATCCAAGTTACTGCAAACATTTATACACAGTCTTTCATTTTGAATCAGTTCGGTTACATTTATTTATATATAGAATATATATGTTATTGTACTTTTGAATGGCGTACAATATGATTCCTCCTGTCTCTCCCTCAGATTAATTTACCTGATGGTGAGGGTGAACCATTGTCTCAATATATCAACTACGGACATCACATCATAATGTGACATCTGTGATGCCTCATAACTAAGATATCATGCCTCCTATCCTGTAATTTAATTACCCAATTGCACCCTATATCGAAAACCCGTCTATGAAAGTATGAGACTGATGTACACGAACGCATATGATTTTTCAGTAATATATTTTTTTCTTTTAGTAATATGTATAATAAATAATAATCGGATTATGAAATCCACAATAATAATATCTTCACATAACGCAACCTCTTCCACACTTGGCTAAGGCCCGTCTGGGTGAGTGTGAGTATGTGAAGAGAAAAGAAAAGTACCATAAAAATAATAACTTTAATAATTATTATTTAAAAATAAAAATATCTCAGGACAATTCACACAGCGTCATCTAGTCCCAAGCTAAGCAGAGCTTGTGTTATGGGTACTAGACAACTGACATAAATATTTTATTGTAAATAAATACATATCATACATAGCAAACACCCAGTCCGATACAAACAATCATACTCATGAATACAAACGATTGTACTGTGCGAGGAATCGAATCCACGACTATCGCATAGTAAAGCGGGGTACTAAACCATTAGACCACGGAGGCTGTCAAATGGATTTTATGTCTAAATGTTTCTCTGCTCACTTGTCATAATACCGAAATATAAGATTCCGTGTTCTTGAATTTATATCTGCTTTTAGAAGCACAGACTATTTGTCCTATGAAACTTGGCATTGTTATTGTGTGCTTCACTCAATCAATCGTTTTATTTCATTTATTTATCGACGGCATTGGCACTTTACGTCCGATGGTCATAGGTTCGATTCATTATTGTATTTATAAGTATGGTTGTTTGTGCCGGTCTGTATTCTTAATGTATTTTATGTATGTATTTACAGAAAAATATATCAAGTATTTATATAAGTTATCTAGTAACCATAACACAAGCATATTTTTTAATTTGTTGTACCACCGGTATTATAATCCCTCTGATTTTTATATAGAACATATACAAACGAGCTTGCGGTATATTCACAATAACAGGGGTATTACAAGTGAGTTGCCCCGGCCTATTATGAAGGAATAAAATCTTTCCTTGAGTGTTTCAATAACGTATCGGTCCGGAAATAATATTCTTGGAAGGTAATTCCACATGAAAATGAATAATAGGATTATAAATTATTGAATTAGTATATTTTTAATTAGCTCAACAGCAAACTGGCTGTGAAGAAGTAGTGAAATCCCTCTGTTATTAGATAAACCGTCCACAATCGTACAAATTATACAAAATTCCATTAAACTTATTTTCAGTCTCGGTAATAGATGTACTAGTCTATAGAAATTGCTTTTTAATTAATAATATGGCAGTGAAATTGCAGGAATAGCATTGCCGGCTTTGCCAGCCTTCCTCTACAATAACTCTATCTATTAAAAAAACCGCTTCAAAATCCGTTGCGTAGTTTTAAAGATTTAAGCATACGTTGTCACAGACAGCGACAGCGACTTTATTTTATACTATTTAATAATGACTATGACAGTGAAATAATGAATATGCAGGAATATAAGTAGCACCTTTGTTCTAAGAATCGTTAACGTATGAGAAATACTATGATTGAGCAATTTAGAATACATGAATTCATTAATAAAGAATTAGTTAAAAGTCTTCTAGTTTAAGTTTTATTTATAACTAGTTAATCGCCCTGGCTTTGCACAGCTGTATATGTATTATATATATAAACCTTCCTTTTGAATAAAAAAATAAACCTCTTCAAAATGCATAGCGTAGTTTTAAAGATTTAAGCATACATAGGGACAGACAGCGGCAGCGACTTTGTTTTATACTATTTAATGACGATGATGATGAGTAATGATAATGATTCAATGTGTAGTCTTCGTATATTTTAGTCTTTTATATATTTATCAGTTATACATCACACACACACACACACACACATACAAACACACACACAACTATAAAAGTATAAACAAATTCATCAGATGTCATATAAGATAGTAAAAATTGAAGTACATCAAAGCTACGTAAAAATTGTGTACTTGAACCAACCATTGTGGAAGGAAATAACATCTGTAACACAGGGATTCCCTAGTACAGATATACAGTTACGGCCTATAAATTAGTGACATTTTGTAAAAATTAATAAATATATTATTATTATTATATTATTAAGTATAATAATGGCATTTACAGTACAACAAATATTATAGTAGTTATAACTATAGTCCATTCTATATTCCCAATACGTATTATATCGCTATCAAGCATTCCATATTGTAGTACATCTATATGCAAAATGTCAACGTAATTCATTATGCAGTTCAATCATGATTGTGTAATAAACATTCAAATCATATTTTGTATGCTGCTACTCTTATATTAAATAGTAATTACTAATTACATGCTACTTGGTCTGGTCTTGGTATCACATTTTCACCGTTTTTATAACAATTTTCATTGTAGCTCCGCTTCTATTAGTCGCTTCTTCTAGTGGTTGCCTATAGTTTTCCTCAATAAAAGTGTTTCCAACAGTAACAATGTATGAGAGTCAATTAATTCTACACCATTCAATTTTCTTTATATTACTACAAATAGATAAGCGTGCAGATATAACGTAGTGCAGGCAGCAATTGTAAATAAAAATAGGACTTTAGAACTTATATCTTTATACCAAACGTTACACAAAAATATAATAATGCTTCTAACACAGTTTTGAGAGAATACCAAATTTTCACCTCAAACATGTTTAGCTTGTTAGGAAAATCTTATTACAATATTGTCTAGCGTCTGATTCTTATATTGTATATTATACTTAGATGTATCAGAAAATTAATACAGAACTCACAATTTGCCGACTTTTTTTATAAAAGAGTGTGTATTATAGAAACATATTAAAGTCTATAAACCGTAGAGTTTTGTGCATATTTTTTTTAAATGGTGTTGTTAAACCGCATACCACATATAATAATTCAATATGAATTTATTGCCAGTAACGGCTATTTATCTTTTATAAAAAATATATTTATGAACATGTCTGGCACTGAGTAAGATTTCAACCTACATCCCTTATTTTGCTGTAACGTTGCAAACCATTTATCACTGTCAGTATTTAATACGAAAATCTAGTAGGCTGTTATTGGACATACCCCAAATATTTGTCAATATTCATCGCAAAAATGTCCAAAGATGATATTGGGGTAGTGATTGACGCTGGATCGCAGTATACAAAGGCTGGATTCTCAGCAGACACATTTCCTAGATGCGTTGTGCCTACTGTAGTTGGGAGGTATGCTAATGCTATTGTGAGATCAAACTTGTGTTCACACATCAGTGCACGCGACTGTACATACAATGCATACATAAATATATCGCTATGATTGTAATCTAGTATGGAATTGTCAGAAGTTTATTGATGGTATTTTTTATACATATTCGTTAGTTGTTGTATTTTTTTAATAAAGTAAAAATAGATAAATATGCATATATTTTATATGACTATTTATTTATTTTTACTTTAGTAAAAAATACAATGTGATAAGTATTACAGTTATGTTTATGTTGAAGTAATTGCTGAAGAGTTAGAAATCAATATAAAATAATAATAATCAAGCCAATTCATACAGCGCCGTCTAGATCCAAGTTCAGCTAGTTAAAGCTTGTGTTATGGGTACTGATACAAATAAATATATATTTAAATATATACACATTATACATAGACACCCAGACCAATAAAAACAATGATACTCATGAATACAAATGTTAGTGCCGTGCGAGGAATCGAACCGGCGACCATCGGAAGTAAGGGGTTACTAAACCGACCCACCGAGGCCGTCAAATATTATGATTTCCTAAAGTGATACCAATGTTATAGATGGAGTAGTGCTCACACACGACCTAACAGTACACACTGGTGAGACAGCAGTGGAAGATGATAAGAATGACGTTAGGTCGCTTAACCGATTAAGGCAAATTCAATAAGAATTAACGACGATAGTTTCCAGAAGGAAGTGAATGGAGGTCGACCTGTTCAATATACATTGCAATGGAGCTATTAACCCCTATTACTAATAAAACCCTCCCACGAAATGAGTATTGCTGTCTTAATATTATAAACTAAAATTTGTGTGCATGTATGAAAGATTGTTTGTTAATCTATTTTAGGTATGGATCACATTCTATACTAACAGATTACAGATTATAGCTACATACAAATATTTTTATCAAACTGTTTTTAGATTTCGTCGCGCTGGTCTTCTTGACGGGATTCCAACAATTTATTGTGGGGCAGATGCGGTACGAAACAGGGGCATATCTCATCTAACATGGCCGGTGCGAGATGGTTTGATCCAGGATTGGGACGAGATGGAGAAACTTTGGCATTATGTATTTTATAAACATCTCCACGTCCCTCCTGATGAAGCCAGGATAATGCACGCTGTTCATCCTTTAATGGAACGAAAGGACAAGTAATTATGTTTTGTTTATACATTTCCATCTTACTAACAATATAAACGCGAATCTTTATAAGTATGGATTGATAAATTAATAGTTGGATGTATGTTCCTCTTTCATCCAAAAACTACTTTACGGATTTTACTATATTTTATTGGTACTCATTACACAATCTTTGCTTATCTTGGGACTAGATGGCGCTATGCAAATTGTTAAGATTACTATTATTATTACATACACAATTATTATTGTCACGGTTAAATGGATCCTAATAAAATTTGACACACAGACAGATTGTATTAGGAAAATATAGTACATATATATTAATATAAAGCAGACGAAATTGCTATAAATAAATAAAAACAAATATTCGTTTGAATTCTACACCATTTATCGACATAGGATTTACTTCAATTTGTGTACATGACGACGTTATAGCTTCTTGTAACCATCATCTAGATGGACTGATATCTTATACATTGTCTAATATATCGTATTGATAGAATCATTCCCGATGGCGACATATAGTAATTTGATGCTATCGGCAAGCACAATACAGCATAATTGATTGTACTGACGTGCAGTTGACACCTGAGTGATTGCAACACCAGGAACAATGACTGTTAATTGGTGCAACCTGCCGCCGTCGAGTTAATTAATGGCACATTCAATGCAAAGTCTCGACGTTAATGTTCAAATCAGGACGAAATTAGATTTTGCAAAATCATACGCAAATTACTTTCTCTTTATATTGAAATATACATGTATTTAAGATATGGAAATAGCAAAAAGATTAGTCGATATGGCAGCTACCTTGGACAAAGAATTAGTCTAGCTATTTAAAGGGGGAACGCTGTCACTATCTTTGAAACCTTGTTTTAAAGGATTCCTTTTAATAATATATGTTTGTTATTGTATTATATCTTTTAAGCTTTTTAGTTTTAGGTTCATTATTCTAGTATTATATATATTTCTGTGTAAATAAATTATGATTTTAATTAGCCGTGTGAATGCTAGATATATATTTTATGTGTTAATCTACCTACATGTATATAAATAAATATCACAAATATTCACTTATACAATAATAGTGTAACCTATTGTTTTTTTTAAGGAAACTTAGATAATTTTAAGTGTAATGTATGTATCTAATAATATAATATATACTTTAAATATGTCTATTTTAAATGCGAAATTGTGGCTGTCTGTTGTATTTTCACGACCAAGGACTAAATGAATGTTAAATAAACCAGATGTGTAAATTTATTATATCGTGTGGTCTATACAGCCTATGTGGCAGAATAATATTACGATCGAAAATAACACACGTTATATACCTATATACGACTACAAGCAATATAAATACACATAGATATACTAGCTGTGCACGCGGTTTTACCTGCGTTAAATTTCAATAAAAAAGTATGGTTTATGTATTATTCTCAAGTAAGTAGTTTCAAGTATCAAACTCACAAACTTTTGCGTTTATAATATTATTAAGATAAATCCACGAAACGTAATAATGTAAGTTTAAAACAACTATATCAGTGAATTGTTAACATTTAACTACTGTTTGTTATCAAATGAAGTCGCGAGAATTAGTTAGTGAAGATAGGAAAATAAGTCTCCCTTCTTAGTTATGGTAATAAATGGGAGTATATATCCAGACAGTTCGTATAGTGGCCATCTTGCAGGAAGTTGGACAATACACTGTAGTTTTATTGGTCCAACTTATTCGATTATGTAAATATAGGAAGATTTAATCCAATTTCCAATACTTTGGCAGTTCGAATACGTCCGGACGGACGTAATATATTCCAACTTGGATTTCACATGAAATATTAAATAGTCTTGCCTTATATTATACTAGCTGTGATCAGTGACTTTGTCTGATTTTTTAAAGTTAAAATATAGCGTAGATATCTTCACTTCAAATTTTCTTAACATTTAACTGAAAGAGTACCTAACAGCCAGACAGACACACATCCGCATTTGTATTATTGTATAAAATAAGCTATTTCTCGCGCCTTTGTCGCCTTTATACTATACGCCCTTAAGATACAGTGTATCTTCCTGCAAAATTTTATTAGAATTTGTTCAGCAGAGTTTAGATGAGAATGTATCACAAACAAATGAAAAATGGGGAATGTCATGAGCCAATGTATTTAACAAAAAGATTACTCTTTATATATAAGCACCTATTTATTATATTAATAATAATAACAATTAAAAAAGCCATCTAATCCGACTCTAACCAGAGCTTGTGTTTTAGTTCAATTATGTTTTCTATGCATACATAATATATATATATTAAACATCCGGATCAAGACAAATAATATACTCATGAGTACAAATTTTGCGAGAAATCGAACCCGCGAGCATTGGAAATAAAGCGGCGTGTTAAACCGCTAGACCACCGAGGCCGTATATATACTTCCTAATATTATAAATGTAAGTGTGTCTGTCTGTTTGTTAGTTTATTACCCTTTCGCGAACTAAAACTCTATAGTAATGTTAATGAAATTTGACATGTTATGTTTATGTTTAATGATTTTCGCTAATAGATTTTACGATTGTATCATGAGGAATATCTCATATAAAGAAAAATAGAGTAACAACTAGTGTGCTAAACTACCTAGATCGTAATAAAAGACCTTTAACATTTAACTTCTCCTTTTGACTTAAGTCTATGTATCTATTGATTGCTTTTACTGACTCAGAATGAATTTTAAAAGGAGAAAAATGTTTATAAAACAAGCTGTTTGGCGGCGGAAGTAGGTTAATCTGAGATACTCATGCAGACAACTTTTTAGTCTACCTCTAGTAAATTTATTTTTGACTTAAGTCTATGTATCTATTGATACATAGACTTAAGTCAAAAGGAGAAGTTTGGATTATATTCGTACTCACATATTGCTATTGCAATAGCAATATGTGAGTACGAATATAATCCTAGACGAGCCGCAGTCAGAGTCATTCAACTGTCGACTCCGACAATCCTGGTGAACGCAACACTTGATATATCGTTCAGTGTATTTGAAGCCAATGTGTCATGCGTGAACTATCGTTGTTTATCGGTTTAACTTGGTTTGTTATCGATATGTCTATAAAGAATCAGTCAGAAGTGTAAAATACTATGGAAAGTTTCATTCCACTCTGTAAACATGACTTCTTGAAGTTTATAAGTCTACTTCTAGCGACTTAACACACAGTTTACAATTGCGGGTAGCATTCCCATACAATACAAACTTTATTTTGTATTATTGTGTATAAATATATCACTTCGGTCATTTTTTATATATTTTTATTCAAGTAATTCTATATAAAGATAATGTTCTAGTTCAGATTTTATCAGTTCTTCTAAACTGAATACAACCTAATGGAATTTAACGTTTGGAATAGTATCGATATGTTTTTTTATGTGCAGAAGTAGTAAAGAATGTCCTACTATGAATAAATGATTTTCTTTAACTAATAGTACTTATATTACAAAGCTCTTAATTCGGATCTAGATGACGCTATCTGAATTGGGTTGGGTTATATTATATTACAATCTTTCTCCCTCTCGCCTTCGACTTACTTCTCTAATTTCTTATTATTATAGCGTAGTAAACTACTAGGTCGTGATTTCGTATGTACATAAGTATAAAGTTATAAATTTTCTTGCATTTATGTGGATCATGCGGTCCGCAGCAATCCTTGGCTCTCTTCCACTTTACATTTACTTTATGGCTGTTTTTATAGTCACAACCGCAGACAGACTTCTGTTACATTCAACCGTCTTAAAAAGTTGAATGTTTTCAATCGACCGCATTCCTTGTAATAGGAGCACAACCTATAAAGTTTTTAATTCATCAATTGACTTTTATATGACAGTTTGTATCATTACCCAGTGGTAACATGCTCAAAATTATTATTTAAAAACAAAAACTTTCAACAATTGAACTGTGGTGTACTGACTATATAAATAAATAAAATTTATAATAATAAATTACAAAAAATATTTGATGCAGAAGAATTTTTAAACCTTATAGATTGTAAGCAATATTTTCAAGATTGTGCTTTAATAAAAAAATCTTTATAGTATTTGCATCCGTATAAAGCCAGAACAGACTGTCAATCGTCAGTAAAATATCCGCCATTAGACATTATTCCGTAATCTAAATCACCCTTCAAAATAAGTTTGAATTATTTATATATAAATTATTTCTAAAATTATAATACCATTTAATATTTCATGACCTTCCCAGGAACTGTAGGAGGCTTAATAAATAATAACTTGACTTAATCTTATTAAATAATAATGTTCTATGAAGGCCCAGAGCGTACCTTAATTAACAAAATGTAATATAAATACCGATACTTTGTTCAAAGTGAGAAGTGTCTTGGTGGAAAGGTGAAATATGGTAGTGAGCAAATTTATTAAAAATAACGTAAAATAAATACATGTACAGTCGTATTGATTACCTCCTCCATTTTTTAAGTCGGTTGAAAAAGTCTGACACTTATGCATTCGCATCTCGACTGTTTTGTTGTTTTAGGCGTTTACATTTCAACTTACTTTCAGGGAAAAGATGGCGGAAATATTATTCGAGACGTTCGCTATTAGTGGGTTATATTTGGCGAAATCCCCCGCTTTAGTACTTCACGCTAGCGGAAAAACGTCAGGGGTTGTTTGGGAGAATGGATATTCATGTTCATACGCCGCTCCTGTGTTTGAAGGGTTCCCCTTGAACTATTCCACGATTACCTCTCAGCTGTCCGGCGAGGCATTAACAGCTCGCCTTCAAACACTGATGGCCGCCAACGGGTACTCATTCACGACAGCCATTGAACGAGAGTTGTTGAATCAAATAAAGGTTAATTACTATTCCAGATATGTACGCTTTGAATATATAGATTAGTACACCAGATACTAGAAATGTAATATAAATATAGACTAGAAGGAGTGTTTAGTTAAATACTGTTTTTGAATTCTAGATTATGGGTTCAGAGCGTTTATTCTATTTAGAATTCATATTAATATTGTATGCTATATAATGTAGTGTATATATTTACATATATTTATTCCATTTTTTTCCTGAAATATTTTGGAAACTAGTCCTGAACTGAGTTAGAGCTGAGTCAATACTCGTATATGTATTAGATCAACAACCAATATCTAGATATCGAACAATACGCAAACCACGTATGAGATATTGCTGATATATTACACGATATCAACGTGACATGCATGTTGATTGTACATAAACACTAGATAATACCAACATATTATTAAAATCAATAAAAATATAATGTTCATACCGATATATAGATATTGAAACACATGTAACGAACCTAATTCCGATATTTGTTACACAAAACAAGACGTACTCGTAGATACAATTCAATACCTACATAACATGTAATACATCCCTTTAATCATTGTTTTATGACTTATCTTATATATAAAATTCTCGTGTCACAGTTTTCGTTCCCATACTACTCCGATACGGCTTGACCGATTCTCATGAAATTTTGTGAGCGGATTGAGTAGGTCTGAGAATCGGCCAACATCTATTTTTCATCCCCCTAAATGTTAGGAGTAGTCCACCCCTAAATTTTTTTTTTATTTTTTAGACAAAATTTTTAGTTTCTATTTTTTTATGATACAACATACAAAAATACATATAATCCTAAATTTTCACCCTTCTATCATCAACCCCTATTTTTTAATAGCGTTATTAATTTATATGGCAAAACAACGTTTGCCGGAACAGCTAGTAATATATAATATTCGACCAGGTCGATGTATGCTACATATCTCAAGATTACGCAGCCGAAATAAAATCATCATCAAGCGAAAACAAGGTTCGCTACGATCTCCCTGATGGGCAACATGTGCTTCTCGGGGATGAGCGTTTCCAATGTCCTGAAGTCATGTTCCAACCTGCCCTCGCAGGTCTTAACTGTCAGAGCGTCACAGATACGATATGCTCAAGTATAACCAAATGCGATGAAGATTACAGAACGTTGTTTTACAACAATATCGTTATATCTGGCGGATCAAGTAAGTTTCCCGGTTTGTCTAAACGTTTATTAGCTGAATTGACTTTGAAACCGAAGACTTTGGCCAAAGTCAACGTTAATGTTGATGGTATACCAAATAGACAGTACGCCACCTGGGTTGGTGGATCGCTTTTAGCTTCTCTCGGGTCTATGAAGGGTTTTTGGCTAACTAGTGAGGAATACGAGGATGCTGGTTCGGATCGCGTTAGTTATAAATTCTTTTGAAGAGAAATGCGGTTGGCCGTTTGCCCGGAATCGATTACAAAAGTGTTTGCTATCTGGGTGTTATCGTTAGATGTGCAGAATATGGACTGACCCACATATTATTTTGTTTTAAAGTACAATGCAATATAAAATTATTAGCTTAATTAATTTTTCTAATAACAATGTTTTAATTTAATTATAAGTATTATAATTTACGATTGGTAGAAGTTTTATTTTAAATTAAGAGAATAAACATTGATTTATCTATGTTATACACAGTGAAATATAAGTTACTCTATAGACAGCTAAATGTGAGCAATATAAGTCGATGTCACTGGCAACACTGAGGAAATTAAATGATTTTTTTTAAATATTTTGTTAACTATTATCCATTCGAATATACGAACTACATATTTATAATATGATTTTTTTAATAGATTATATCATGATGATGCTAAAGTCAATTTTACGTGATATTTCATTTTATACTATCAACCGTTTACAAACAGACGGATTTTCGCAATATTAGTATAGATTAGACCGTGTTTTATAACAAGAATACCCTATATCTATAATTTTTTTATATTATATTGATAAAAACTGTACAAGCTCTAATAAGGTTGTCAAAAATAGAAGACCATATCAGAAAAAAAAACATATTAAAAGTTGTCAACGTCGATACTGTTACATGATAGTATCTAGGCAATTTTTATTTAAAATAACATATTTATTGCTACTTAAAATCCAAGCTAATATCTAAACATGTCTTTTGAGAAGCCTGCAGTGGTTATTGATAATGGAAGCTATAGTATTAAAGCGGGTTTTGCTTCTGACAACCATCCAGTTTCAATGTTTCGGACCGTAGTGGGTAGACCGAGCTACCTGAAGGTATAAGTTCATATCAGAATAATAACTTCTTTATAGAAATGGTAAATAAGCTAGCGCCGCTGATAATACTTAGCAACTACTGCTTATAAAGAGTAGCACAAAGTCATGACGTCATCATGCCATTCGTGTTGAATTCATGTTACATTCTGGAGTACTATGGTATGGTGCCTTTTTCGTAATTTTACTAACATATCTCTTTTTCTTACAAAAAAAATGTCGTGTTACGCAAAGAGATGAGCCCAAATTGTCTATAAAATGCTCACCTTTCGAGTGAGTTCAGGGAACCAGATTTTATCTTTATTTTTCATACGTCTCAGTCTATTGACAGATTTAGATTTAGTTGTTATGGTGTTGACCAGCCGTATAATAGTAGTATTATAAATAAATACAATTATTAAGTAATAAAAGTTTTTAGGTAGTTTATATTGTTTTCAAAATTATTTTCCATTTTGCATTAATATTTGATAACTATCTACTGGAAAATGAACTTAATATGCTTTCGCATTTTATGTCAATTGTTGTGATATCATCCGGAAGTGTTCTTGAGGGTGAGTCCGGTGGACGGACGTCCATTGTAATTCGATTAGTTGTTATCTATTGCAATAATTGATAAAAATGGAATTCTGTACAATATTTACTAAAAGAGCAAGCATGATCTTTCGTATTGTAATGAGAATGTTTTCCAAATGAGTAAGTTTCCAATGGTAAATTACAAAAATATAACTATTTTAAACTGCTTAAGTTTATTTGAATAAAGATTGTTTTTATTCTTATATTGTATTTAATTGTAACTATCATAACAAATAAGTCTTAAGAGAACAAAAGAGTAAATTATCAAAATACGTGAAATGTATGTATATATATATATATATATATAGGTATATACATTATACATTAAAAATGCTCTACAGTTTAACAAATAAATCACTCCTAATGATTAATGTAAACCAAACAATTATGAATACTTAATAAGTTTCTGCCATAATTCACAACTATCTAGTTTTTAAGTTTGAATTTACTAATATTAGAAACTAGACGACGAATTTCTGTACTCACCAGATCCTAATTTAGTCTGACACCTACATCACAAATTAGATCATGAAAATCAGCCCCAGTAAGCGTTCTAGTTTAATCTACTTAGTAACACTTTAACATTCACTGATAGACAAGGCACGCGGTAAGTCTAGACATTAAATTTAGCACAAGTCTTGCTTATATAACGAAGTAACGAGTGACAAAGTTTTCTTGTTTGAAAGTGTAATTGTTATAGTGTTAGGAATATAGTTTAAATGCCTATAAAGGCCAGTAACTAATTTATATTATTAGGACTTCATTCGCGAATGAATGAGCACATAAACTGAAATATTCTCTTTTGGAAATTATTAATAAGTCGTAAAATGTTGACGAGACCTTGTACTATAGCCACTTCAACAGATTAGACCCAACAAGAATATTTATGATTTTCACAGTGCGTTAATTTAATAATGCATTATTAAACTTAGCAAACGTTGGTACGAAGTGCGAATTAACAACGTAATTAAACCTCAACCAGCAGGTTTGCAAATCCGCAAGTCTCACACCTCACTTCAACCATCCTGTGTACCGTTGTATAATAATAAATATACTCAATAGTATAAAAAATTGTTTATTGGGTATTGTAGTCAAAGGCATCGTTAATTGTCGACGTCGCCGCGTCGTGGTGAATGCAACACTAGATCCAAATGTTGCCCACATTTCGATCGGTATATTTAGAAGCAACGTGGCAGATTGTGTTTTTAAATTGTTATCGGTATTTTCAGTCATTGTGAGGTCATTTTGAATTTGTTGATTCAGTTAGAAATATAAAAGTTTTTTAATGTAATTCAGGGGTAGTAAATCGCTAAGCTATGAGAGATAAGTATATAAGTGATCTGTATGGAGGTAATGCTAATATGTTTATGAGTAAGTAGAAAATTAAACACTATTTTAGATTCAGTAACTATTTATAGTGATCTCAGAGAAGTCTAGGATACCGACACCAATGATTTCTATTTATGTTCTTTTTGAAAACATAAAACCGTAATCACTATTATTATCGTATATTTTCTGTAAGAGTTGCATCTTGAACAGAAGTGAGAATAAATTTCCCAAAAGTAAACTATAGCTATTTACATTCTAGAATTTAGAAAGCATGTTTACACATCCTTATTAATGTACAGGGCAAATACGGCCGAGAAGCGTACGAAGTTTTTATTGGAGATAATGCAATGGCTAACTTAGAAGACCTAGAATTAAATCATCCTGTGCAGAATGGCAGAATAGTTAACTGGGATAACATTGAAAGGATATGGCACCACGTATTTTATAAAGAGCTCAAAGTGGCACCAGAAGACAGAGCTGTAATCCTGACATGTTCAGTCACGTCACCCATCGCTGAAAAGTAAGGTTTTTATTATAACAGCAAAGACACATTGTAAGAAGAAATTACTGAACATTATTATAAAATAACAAGTTTAAAAGTGAAGGAAAACAAATAAAGGGTAACATGAAAGAAATTGATAGCATGAATAAAGGTGATGCTAATGATGTGATGAGCGAGCTGACTGAAATTCCATTCAGGCAATTTATTAAATCATTACTGTTTACGGTACAGCTGATAGCGTTCTATGCATGGATATTATATAATTATTATTTATTTAAATTAGATTCGCCATTAGCTTGTCTGCCATTTTAAATTCAAGCAAAATTTCATAATAAAAGTAGTTTGTCATGAGGAGAGTCAGACTTATATATTTATCACTATATACTTTTACTAGACTTTATACGATTTTTCTCTAATTTATCTTATTTTATTAACTTCTTCTTTAATGTTCGTAATCATATAATTTCTCTTGCGCGCATGCTCTTTCGTATTTAATTATGTACTTCAAACTTAAGTTGAAAGTGCAGAGCAGTGCAGTTTGTTATACCCACTGTAAAATGGAGCATTTCATTGTAAAATATAGCAAAAAATTAGTTGAACTCAAAATAGTAAAAAAGTAGGTTACTTTCTTATAAAATGACCTACTCCGCAAACTGTGTAATACTACCTTACAAAAATAACAGTTCATACCGTTATACAAAAACTTTCCCGGTACTAGAATAGTAAATGCAAAGGCAAGATACGCGAATACACAAAGAATAGAATAGAATAGAAAATCATTTATTCAAATAAACTTAATTTCAGCACTTTTGAATAGTCATAACAATTTGTTTTTTATCTACCACTCGTTCGGAAAGCTGTCTCATCACAAGAAGAACGACCAAGAAACTTGTCGTGTTGCTCTTTTAAATAATCCTTGTAAGTTTACATTTACAAGTCGAAACGTGTGAATACAAACTACCAACCAGCACAATTTTTTTTGGGTCAAATATAAATATACAATACTATTAAATCAGTCTTAGTGATAAGAGCAGACCAGTCCCTACAAGCAGCACTCGATCACGAGTATGACGGATGAGCCAGCCATCACTGCGCTCGACCATATTTTAGGGAGCCAATGATGCCGCCACGTCTGGACATTTTAGTGAGCATCACTACTCATTCTACTCGACCACGTCACAGCTCAGATTAGACTAAAGATTCCTATATCCGAATACAATTCATGTAGAATATAACGTTGCCGTCCCCTATTAAATTATTACGTAGCCAATAAATCTATGATATCAACACCAGAAACCGATCCCCATCGCTCCGAATCGTTGACACACCTCGAATAATAATGAGGGCCAGGAAAACACCGTCCATATTTTAGGGATAAATTTTGACGGGTCCCTTGATAATTTTTAGTTGCAAATTGCTGCGAAAAGATATTCGCACGGAATTTACCTTTGGAATATACGTGTGGTGAAAACTTGTAGACGCGACAGGCTGTTTATAACATCAGAATTGTTGAACGAGAAATATTTTAGCAAAATAATGAAAATTAAAGTGGTATCGTATATATTACATAAATGTACCGAGTAAATTCCAAATTTACTATCTCGGAATACTTTCAATGATTGTGGGTTCTATTCCTCGCAGTATGTAATCATTTGTACCTATTTATAAGGTGTTTTATATTTACATTATTATGTTTATATTTAAAAAAAAAAAAAAATAAAGTTTTAAGTTAGTCTATAAAGTATCAGTTGTCTAGTATCCATATCGCAAGCTCTGCCTAGCTTAAGACTAGTTGACGATATGTGAATTGTCCTGTTCATCATTATTAGAAATTAAACACTATTTGGTAAATGAACTTTTGTTACTGCGTGATAAAATATCAAACAGTGAGTCATGAGGTGAACATACGCGTATAAAGTTCGAGACAAACAACTTGACTGTACTACAGATAAATAAGCTTATGAAGTGAAGCATGTAATGTATGTAATATTATCTATCATAACCTCGCTTGCCTAGCGATTTTCACTCTACTTCACTTCCGATTGTCTAGGGGTTCTATTCTTCTTGCTGTACAAAAATTTGTAGTCAAGTAAGTAAGTTTGTTTGTATTGGTCTGGGTTTTTTCTATTCAGATTACATATGCATTTGCATTAAAAATGTGAGTATATCTATCAGTTGTCTAATACCCATAATACAAGATCTGTTTAGCTTCGGACGCAGAGCCGCCAGCGCTTTGTTATCGGTGTTTCGGTTGTAGGGTGCGATTAGGCAGTGACATTACAGGATAAGGCATGACATCTTAGTCCTCTGGGATGACTATATTACCGTGCATGAGTGGTATTCCGGGTGTTACGTTTAACTTGATGACCGTAGAACTATTCATATATACTGACAATGATTACCGCTTATGATCAGGTGGTACTTGTTTGATATTCTATGTACTTAAGAAAATTACTAAAATATTAAACTCTAACATACATATACCTAAATATATTACTTCTATATTTATCAAGAACTGATGAAAGTATAGTCAGCTTACATAGAATTGTGGAATTACGCTAAGCATCTTGCGAACAAAACTGTAACAAATTGAATCTTTTCAACAGTTTTCAAATATAAGAACATTTTCTATTGGATAATATCTTTTGTCTGACGTCTTTCCTCGCTCGATAAGCAGCTTTTGTATATTAGTGATACATAGGTATTATTTTGTATGAAATTTCCTTATTTTAACATGATATTGTAAAGTCTGTTATTATAGCATATCGTATGTTTTATATCGACAGAAAGTGATTACTGTTCTCCAAAAAGTGAAGGATTTGCCCGATACTCGCAACGATATTGAACATCGTAAAAGAACAGATTAATAACTTCAATATTATGAAGTAATCCAGCTTTAAAATCTGTAGAGAAACCAGGGCAGTGAACATCAAACAAGGCGGGATATTTTTATTATGCATTCATGGTATGCATTTATGCAAGAGGCTATAGCTCTGCGCAAATAGATCTAAAGTCTTGATCGACTTGGTTATGCGAAGATGAAGCTTGGTGGCTTATGGCGGCTTAAAATATCATTACAAGATGCATATTTCGCATCAAATTTATTAAGTTCAGATGTTTTAAAAACACAACTAGATTTCTTGCTTGTTAAGCTTGTCATTTTCGGAATGAAACTGTTCTTACAGTAATATTTTCAATATTTTGTTTGCATGATAAAATTATTTGAGTATTAAATTCATATAAATAAATAAATAACCCTGAACAATTCACACAGCGCCATCTAGACCCAAGTTAAGCTTGTATTATGGGTACTAGGTAACTGCTACACAAACATAATTTTTTTTTCATAAATACTTACACATTATACATAGAAAATACTCAGATCGATACACACAATCATAGTCATAAATACAAATGCCGTGCGAGGAATCGAACCCGTGACTATGGGAAGAAAAACAGCGTCCTTTAACCGCTAGACCACCAAGGCCGTTATATGGGACACAGGTATAATTCTCATTAGTTGATTACATCGCGTATCGTGATGTCTACATAAATATCATAGTCGAATTTAACCATCTTGCAGCCTATGTATAGCATGTCTGGTTTGCATATAGATTAGAGTACTTGCGGGATCTATTTAAATCTCTGGTTAGTGCAGTTGATGCAGATGATGTCTCGTTAATTACTTTTCTGATAGGTACACGCCACTAGCATCCCGCAATTTACAATACACTGATGGCTTTGAGACTGATCGTGTCTATACTTAACACTTCACTGCACATGACTCCAATCTGTGTTGATAATTTCAGCCCTAAAGCATTTACCGCTTGGTTTGGAAGCTTGAGAGATTAAACCAACTTTGAAGGCATTATACATTAGCCATTAAAGTTTCGAATGTGTTAATTCATATGAAAATTATAATTAAATTAATTAACATTTAACTTTCTATTACATTGATTTGAAAGAAATTGTTTGAAGGAATACTTATGTTTACTACTACTATACTGTCTACTAGTTGCTAACAATGATTTTGCCCACTATTAAATAAAAAAGACAAGCTATCCTCGCAATCCAATGACTGCATCGTACTACTCATTTGCTCTATTATCTGTTTTTTTTTTCTTTGCTTGGGTATGCTGTTTAATATACTTCCTCTAAGCAAAAAATCAAAAAGGTTTTTTTTTACATCCAATCCGATCGGTACGTTTAGAGATAATCGCATTCATACAAACAAACTTTCCAGTTATATATTTGAAAAAGATAAAAAAAAGAAAGTTTTTCGTCGTTAGTTTGGTTGCGAACAAAGAATATGGACGGAAGAAATAAGCGCGAGCATATATCGATACCATTTGGTTCTTAAAAATAAATTCCGGTAAACGAGAGTAATAGAGTAATAGTCACATACTTCAGCATCTGAATCGGCAAGAATGATTTGGCTTATTTAGCAGGCCAAAAAAAAACAGTAGAATTATTTGAAAAGAATTTGGTAATATGTAACCGCTCTAAACAGTTATATAATCTATTAGTGGATAAATAAAAGGGATTTCATAAACTACAGTATCTCGCTTAAATATATAATTTAAAAAAAACTTTGATCTATTGTATTGTACAATTGTAATAATTTCACTGTATAATGTGAAAAAAAAATATTCTATCTATCTAGTATTAGTACAATAACAGTATAATTTTTAAACTCATGTACCTAGTGGACGTTTATTATTTTTATAGATCTTTAATTTTGTTAACAGCTACATAACACATCTTTGCATTATATTAATAAAGTCTAGATGAAAGTGAATCTGGTATGTATATACCAGTTTCTAATCATAAAACTGTAGAAATCTACTCCGTTGAATTATTGGTTGGTCTTGAATATAAGACGGCAAAAGCAATCACGGAAGGCAGCTTCGAAAATGGAGCAAAATGTATTACGAGCTCAGTAATCACGTTATTGCTCAAAGGCGAGCGTTTAGTTATGAATATCTTTAAATTCAATCCAAGACTTTTGCTATTACTTATTTGGACACCTTTCATTTTGGATATTTGGAATATCTTAAAACATGAACCGAGACTTGCTTGCTTGTTGGATGCTCTTTATTCTGGACTTATGAATATCTTTCAATTCGACTCAAGGAACTTGCTGTGACATATTTTGACGCTTTTTTCTATCGCTGATGGTAAATTTAACTTTTTAAACAGACTCATTGATTGATTTTACTAATTATAGATATTTCGCTAGAAGAGATTAATTTTAGATTTCAATCTGGCTATTTTATTTTTACTCTTTGTGTGATCATTCTATATATAAAATATATAAAAAATAGATCATATTAGTACTTAAATGGCGCGTTGAATTTTATATTAAAATGATTATGAAACTTTATTATAAAAATCATTCCTCTCCAATTTAGGTAATAGAGTTCTAATATCTAAAACTAATTATCAATATTGTAAAGATAGGTGTGGCATTTATACAATTTAGTGTATAATTTGAAACCTATTAAAACTGTATTGTATCATTTAACTTTCAACGATGAAACATAAAGGGTTAATTGTATCCGTACAATATTCTATTTTTACTTCCAATTTGCTGGCAATAATTAAATTTCATTCGTCGTCTAAATTAAATTTCACATTTTGAATTTCCAGGTGACATTTGCTCATTGTAAAATCCTTTAATAAACCTAATTAATTGGAGAGAGCACGGCAGGCAGGCACTTAGTCACGTTGAATTGAAATGTGCACGTCGAGTGTTGCATTCACCACAGTGGCTATTGTCTCATTACTATACTGACCCGGTGGCTTGTTAGTTGTTATACGGTGTGATTTTGAGGCTCTCTTCACTTGAACCTTCGTATTGTTTTGTTCCTTTAGTCACTTCTATCACGACACACAAACAATGTAACTAAGCCGACATTTGACTAATCAGCCTCGATTTTGTGTTAAATACTTTTATTAGATTTCGAATATAAACATATTTTTAGTGAGAATATAAGAAATAGAATAGAGCGATGTAGGTTTTGATTTATTTTTTATGAATTTTATATATGGTATGATTGAAGGTAATATTATAACGAAAATGACTATAAACAAAAATAAAAAGTATTGTGGAAAGGAAATATTTTATTTTTGTCTGCAATGGTTAAAATTTAAAAATTCTCTTTTAGTTTTTAAATCCTTTGGTAAGCTAATGGTATCAGGGAGTAATACGTAGTGTATTTCGTTTAAAAAAATGACCTGTACGAAGCTGTTAGCAGGTGGGAAGTCATTAACAAAATGAATCCTGGTATGGAGGTATCACACGAAAGAGCGACTATGTAAGTTATTTTAGAAATGCAATATGATTGTGGATGTACGTAAAACATACGATGAAAAAGAAAAATGCTTAGACTGTGTGAAAGACGATTAATTATTTTCTTAAAAGAGTAAGCTCACATGTGACGTATGATAGAGAAGAAGATAGAAAGAAGACACACTGCGCCGATTAATAAATCTCGAAATAATAAGATGAAGAAAAAGAATTGATTTTATTAAATAAATATATATATAATAATCGCATTAATTAAAATATTTCCTTTTGTCTTGTGTAACTGGATACATTCAGATATTGGGAAATGTCAGACAACATTCCCATTTTCTTGCCAGTATTATTCGTATTCTCAAACAAAGTTATTGTATTTAATTTCCTTTTCTTTGAATTTAGGATTTCATTGTTAATATTGTATTATCGAATCCAATTCTTAGGAGATTGAATTTGTGTTTGTCGTTAATAAAGAGTAGTTATATTCCACATAAATGTAAAGTGCAGTTTATTTTTACGAATGTCGAACTTCGTACCTACTGTTTGGGCAAATAAAGTAATTTAAATTTTATTGTATCGATATAATATATTTGATTAAAAAAGCTTACTATAACATTATAAATGTACATCCTCATTTTAGCACCCCATTTCATTATGACGATCTCTTTGATCTTAAGATTTCTGAATTAAAATTAAGTAAGGTACTTAATTTTATATATATATAATTTTGTGTATATATATAATACAAATATATTTGTATATATATATAATACAAATTTTCATATGTAGTTAGGACATCTAATCTCAATGTAACAAATTGACTCGAAAGATTGGATGGGAAATTATCTATATATGCTTTAAAATAAGTATTCCATTGTTTTTAGAATCAAATCTTGTGAAGTATTTTTCGAAACTCTAAATGCACCAGCACTTTGTGTACAATCTGAAGCGGTGCTGTCATTGTATGGAGTTGGACAGACAACTGGTCTATGTGTAGATATAGGACATGATACCACAACCGTCAGTCCTGTATATGAAGGAGGGCTAGTTCAGTATGCTCGGATGCAAACTAATTACGCTGGTGCACAAGTATCTAATATTCTGAAAGAAATTTTACAAGATAGAAAGTATAATTTTGATATAAAATGTGAAACTATTATTGATGATATAAAAAGAATGCTATATGTTACACCAGATTGCGCCATGTCGAGATGGAATTACCAGAGAATATATACTTTGCCAAGTGGTGAAAATATAGATGTCAGCCAAGAAACATTTATGTGCGGTGAAATGTTTTTTCAACCGAATTTGTTTCAAGTTGACAAAACTAAATACTTATCACTCCAAGAAGCTATAGTGACGTCATGTTTAAAATGTGATGCTGAGTTAAGATCAGATTTGTATGATGTGATTGTACCCTGTGGTGGGTTGGCAGTGGTTCCTGGATTGTCAAATAGATTAGCAGACGAATTGGAAAGTTTGGTAAAAAGACCAGTCAATGTGATTTGTTCTTCTGAAAGCTACGTTACAACTTGGTTAGGTGGAGCCACATTTGCTGGACTCTCTGATTCAAAGAAGATGTGGATTAATAAGCAACAATATGACGATTACGGTGCAAAAATTGTAATAAACAAATTCGTGTAAAATCTTACACAATATATAGTGTTGTTTAAAATATAATATTTTTAAACGCAATAATTTTATTAAAATATCTAAATTTATTCATTGAAATGATTAAGGTAATATTATTTACTTCATTCCCAAACTATACTATAAATAAATGTTGCGCTCGTGAATTTATTTAAAGTAATTGGTTATATTAGGCCGACGGAAGGTATGTTAATAGTTCAAGAGTCAACAGTATTATGATTACCATCAAATGGATCTTAACCTCCTTGCATTTTGTATCATAAAATTGCCCATTATTGTCAATTAAAAGATATACTTAGTAAACAGTGGCTTGTCTATAATACATATATTTTTATATCGGAGAGATTTTGTTTTGTTTTTATATACGAGCACCCGTAACCTGTACTATTGGTCCTTTTCACGCAGTAGTTAAACAAATTCTTTTAACAAAAAATTGTTCGATCATTTACTATATACTATAGTTCTATTTCACTGCTAAAGTATTGACATTATCTGTTTTATTTGTAAGTTTATTAATGCAGTTATTATTCAGAGACTTGTATCTCTTAATTGGCTGCATATCTACCATTACGATTCCATGACATTTTATTAAAGTTTTCATTTATGAGAGCGTAAAGGACCGACGCACTGTTAGAAATTTATAAACAGTCCCATTTTTTAACTCCTCTGAACATAAACAACGGGGTTACAAAGTGTTAATGTGAAAGTACGTGAGTAATAAATGATTCCAGTGATACTCAGGTTTTAGCCCTAAACTTTTACTTGTTCACGATAAAATATTCCTAGACGTGAGCTCCGGTCCATTACAGTAAAACTATGTTTAAATAAATATACATACCTTATAAATGTTGTTGAAAACTTTAGCTTAAATGAACGCTAAAAGTGCCAGCGAAACAGCAACGAGGGTAGTGTCTCTGGTCAATATTTATAGCTACAAAAAACGTACGCCTAACAATGAATCGTAACCCCAAAACATGACATGTATACACCAATTGTGAGCCTAAAAACAAACGTCACAAATTCCAAATTGGCTAAACTGAGTGTTTTGGCCAGATTTCGTAATTGAATAGGGGATATTGGGCTTATAAATTTGTAAATGGATTGATATTTTGTCGGTGTCTCACCACATTTCCAGCGCTTGCCTTTCCCCAGCTAGATAGGTTTTCCTTTTGGGTGAATGTAAATAAGATTGAAAATACGCCACCGCTGGTCGGTCGGGCCCCATATGTGCTTTAGAGGGTTAAGATTTTTTCGCTATTTGTGATTTACGAAAAGATTTGTTGTAAATGTTTTGTGGGGTTAACGTTGACTAACGATCAGTTTGCTAGGGTTGTACATAACAGTTAATAATGAATACAAAATAACCAATTGTTTTTTACTAATAAAGTGTAATAGTATCACTTGAATGTATGTTACATTTAGTCAGCGAGCCATTGCCTAATTTTATCAATAATTTCCTTTCAGCTGAAAATGTTTAAATGGTTAAGATAGTTATATTATGAAACCTAGTGAACGTCAGTTACGATTCCGACGCTGGGTTGAAGAATATGACCCTCAGACACATAAAAATAGAGTTTATGCACTATAACTTTAAAGTTTACTGATTTTCCTATTTAGGAAATTTATTTTAACAGGTTGTATCACTCACGAGCATTGTACAAAGTAAGCCTTCAGAATGTGTAAAAAATATTGCAAAGCATGTAAATATTTAAAAAAATATAAATGGTATGCAACAACTATTTGTTGCTCATTCTTCTAACCGCGACTTGCTTTTCTATGTAATTCTTAACGGCATCAGTAGTCTAACGGTTTAGAGGGCACACCGCTTTACTTCCGATGGTCGCAGGTTCGATTCCTCGCACGGCATAATTATTTGTATTCCTGAGTATGATTGTTTGTATCGATCTGGGTGTATTCTATGTATAATGTGTATGTATTTACGAAACATAAAAGTATTTGTATGATTTATAAGCTAACTATACCTTGTGTTATGGGTACTAAATTATAACTATAACAAGCTTTAGCTAGCATAACTTCGGTTTAGATGGAGCTGTGTGAATCGTTGTGCGATTATAATTATTATGTAATTGGAAGGCATTGGATGCGAGCAGCGCAGAACCAATCGTCGTGGAGATCTTTGGGGGAGGCCTATGTCCAGCAGTGGACGTCTTCCGGGCTGCGATGATGATGATGATGATGATAGAAGGGCAAACAAGCTAACAGACCACCAGGTGGAAAATGGGAAATGTTACATCATGTCATCAAGTAATTTCTGATGCACTCCGCGTACGCTGCCACATAAGACCAAGATTTTATGCTTCTGTACTATATACCTTCATTAACAGAAACGCAGCTTAACTTGTTCCAAAGCTGATTGAAATTCTTGAAGAAGGTACCCATAAGACTTTCAAAATCTACCTTTGACTTTTAAACAACATATATCACAATACAGCAGTTACGGACGTTTTATCTAAAACTAAACAACCCGCAGCGAATTGGAGGTGTAGCGCGGGTAGCGAGATCGTTACCCGGTTGAATTATTCATGTCGCCCTGATGAGGTGTTACATCTACATACATGTAACACACTTGTGCATATTTACACTACATGTGTTAGTTTGATATTCATGTATAAACATACCGATCACGGCTGTATTTCAAATGGAGTATTCAGAATCAATAGCAAATGAAAACGTTCTGATTAAGGCAAACTCTTAATTCCTCTTTGGAGCACGTCTTGATTTTAAATCTAACGCACTGAGTCTCTAGAATACAATTAGTTTGTTATCGGTGTTTCTATCAACGGAAAGTTATACATGGAATTACTACAAAATGAGACAAAATATCTGTGGTAGATCTAAAAATATCCCATATTTAAATTTTATTATCGATAATGGCAGACAAACTGTCTAAAAAAAGTGCTAGTACTGTGTGTATAGGTAGATGTGTAGAACAGCATCATAGACGTCTGAGTAAATCGTACGTAGATATTTGTCATGCCTTCGTAGCGCGTAATTTGGATTACCTATATTTGGGGAAAATATACATTACAATCACAGATAATAAAATATTACATAATAATACTATATTACTATCATCACTACGACATACTTTGTTATTTGAGACTATTCCAATTAAAAGTCCGGTGAAGCTGTAAATAGAACAGTGTAGAATTAAAAAAATTTATCATAATCTAGATCCTCGATTTCACGATTTGTGGTGAGATAGCTTTCCGACCGAGCGGTAGATAAAAAAAGTTGTTATGACGATACAAAAGTGCTTAAGTTAAGTTTATTTCAATAAATGATTTTCTATTCTATTCACATAGAATATGATTTGGTTAAAGTATAATGCACTTTGCAATTTACATCCTGTTCACAAACCAGAAATCTGAATGTGACATAGATGGAATATCCTTCCAATATGTACGAATAGTACATTTGCGATCTTGAATCTTTCATAAGCAACTTTAAGGTCCACATTTGGTTTACAAATGGCGTCGGTCCTCAATTCTCTCAGATCATTTGTATATGTATACAGCAACGTGACTACACATATTATAGTTGGAAACGTTATTATTTCATATTTACTATTATAATATTATGTTATCTGTGCTGTTACTAATTACAAATTAATTTACACATTTATAATATTATTATTATTAATATATATAATATTATAAATGTGTATTTGTTTGTTACAATAAAGTAAATAGTTTATTATATAACAAGTTAGTATTGAAATAATCATGGCTTAACAAATTATGCTTAACCTGTTACCCTATATTAGTATGCCATGGTATCCAAAATATAAATATTTTATAAATTATATATATAATAAAATAATCACTAAAAAAACAATCAACATAAAAAGAAAGAGGAAAAATTTTATAAATTAGAATTAGGGTTTTCTGTTCTTTATTATATTCTATAACATTGTGTTGTAAAACGATTGCTAAAACGAAAAGTATAATGGAAGTAAAACTTATCACAATATGTTAGTGGAAACCACACTAAAAGATATGTTAAGTCGATTCTTACATTAGCGTGCAATAACGTATAATTATATATAACGTGCTCAAACAAACAGATAGGTTCAAACAGTTCTATTAGGTTTTATCAATCTAATAGAAACTAAAACAATTCTTGTTACGATTTTTGTCTTCCTTATTTACATTAAATCTCCGAATAATAGTTTTTCTCATATTTCTTCCGTATACAGATAGGGATCAGTTACATTATTAGTATATAAAAATAGATTCAATATATTTTGATGGAAATAGTTGTCGGGAACTAGTCATATCTTCTATAAAAACTCTATATTCACGCCCTATTTATTACACGTATTACACACTCGTAACATCTTATACGTATGTAAGTATAAATGGCTACACAAATTATTATATTTTATGAATGTATTGTATAAAAATACATAATCGAGCTATTACACAATGAATTCCGAAATTCTTTTGTGTTGCTCCGATTTTTCTAAACTAAAATACAGTTATCACAGACATGATTTATACTTCCCGAATTCCCCTAGCTTCATAAATCCCAGTTAGCAATGACACGCTAGTATATTTCTGGTAGCAGGCATCTCATTTACAATCTAATAACCACATTGCTTGAGAAGGGTGTGTTATTTGTCAAAGATTATTTCAGAGTCTATCCAAAACTATGTGATAAGCTTCTCTAAATTGTCTACATGTTTAGATACGATCTTGATAGTAGAATTTATACAGGATTTTTAACTGGAATAACAATGTAGTAGGCCTGGTTTGTAAGTGTAACCATTGCTCGTCGAGTAGCCATGAAGCACGTCATTAAAAAATTAATTATATTACTAGATATAACTTACAGAGTTAATTTATGAAGATATAAAACTATCAATTATTATATGGAAAGAACTTGTGACATGGAAAAAATCGAATTTAAGCAGACCAGTATTGAAATCAAATTTTAAACGAGATATATTAATCTGATTTGTTTAAAACAAAATTAAGTAATAAATATGTTTAGTATCTACAAATGTATATACATGCAAGTATAAAGTTTTAAGAAATATGAGGCTATATTTTCACAAATGATTGCATTATTTATCTTTGTAAATAAATTAAAACAATTTGCGCCGGTGATATTCTTTGTGGGTTCCTTCTTGAGTACTATTAACTCTTCAAACAGTTGAAATTCTACAGTCTCCTTTAAAGAATATTAAATATGATGAATGAGAAAATGTATCTCTGTATTCGCATATTCATGACTAAATGGGTAAAATAATTGTATAACGAGGCTATCCTCGTATACAA